TCAGAGACAAGGGGATAAGCTTTGAGCCATCTCCACCCCATTCTCCACACCAGAATGGTGTGGCGGAGCGCATGATTCAAACAATTACTACAAGAGCACGATGCATGATGCTGGATGCTGGATTACCTATAGAGTTTTGGGCGGAAATAGTAAATACAGCTGTTTACCTACAACAATGGATAACCACGACCTCACTTGATAACCAGTGCCTATTCTTAGTACTCAAATGGGCTTCAGAGAAGACAGCTTGCACTTCAATACCTCTAGGTATAGATAGGAGTGCTTCTAACTACTCAATTAATCATCTGCGACGGGTTGGCTGTGTTGCTTATCGCCGAATTCCTGATGATGGATTTCCCTCCAAAGGCATATTAAAGTTTGGAGCGAGATCGAAGATGGCAATGATGCTGGGTTATACGCCCTCTACAAAAATCTGGAGATTATGGGATTTTGAGGGCAATTGGGGCCAGGGACGGCCAATAAACTCCTCCGATGTGCAATTTATTGAATCACAAAATGCATGGGCACAATATTTTCATCAAAGTCATAACACTAGTGGAGCTCCGGTAGAAGCAAGTTCAATTACTAAGGCTTTTGAAATGGCAATAGGATATGACTCCCATATACTATCGGAGCCAATGCAAACTATTGGTATAGAGGAAAGGCTTGATACTGGCAGCATGCACTTTGATATTGGAAGTGAGCAATCTCCAGTAAGTCTTATCCCTCAGACAATGACTGTTGTCGAAACTGGCGGCATCCACAGTACTTGTGATGGATCCCTAGATCAGAGGACTGGCGGCAAGCACTTGGATATGAGTGAGCTCTCCCTAGTTAGCTCTAAAGGCTCTGAAGCAACAACTGTTGCTGAAACTGACGGTATCTACAATACTCGTGATACATTTCCCAGTTCGAGGACTAGCGGCAAGCACTCTCAGAGTGAGCTCTCCCTAGTCAGTTCAGAAATAGAGGAGGCAACTACTGTTGCTGGATCGTGTGATGCTCAGGACAATGTGGAAATGTCCGAGTCTCTCAATACTGTTTCCCGGGGTCATCAGATTCCTATAAATACTCCTGGCGGTGGACATTTAAATATTAATGAACAACCCCCTCAGGTAAGGAGAAGTGGACGAATTCGAAAGAGGCCAAGAGAGACAAGAGACTATGAGGTTCTATGTGGGACTCAGCGGCTTCATAGTGAAGCTCCTCTTAGCCGTGAGGCAGCAAATCAGGCATTTATTGCTACCTATGCACCACTCCTTGATGGTAAACAATTACCAGATCCTAATACCATCGCAGAGGCCTGTGATAGTCCTCTTTGCGCCTTTTGGATTCAGGCAATTATCGAAGAGGTAGAAGCTTTACAGTTTAACCATACTTGGGATCCAGTTACAGGAGGGATACCATGTAACGTACAGCCAATTGGATCCAAATGGGTATTTCGAACAAAACGCAATCCTGATGGTACTACTAGATACAAGGCACGACTTGTCATCAAAGGTTATGAACAGCAGTATGGTATTGATTATACTGAAACCTATGCTCCGGTTGGCCGACTTGATGGTCTCCGTGTACTTCTTGCACTTGCAGCTGAGAATGATTTAAAACTTCATCATCTTGATATAGTTTCAGCCTTTCTCAATCCTCCGGTGGATTGCGACAACCTGTATATGCTACTTCCAATGGGAATCCACTATGGAGATTCTACTCTACGTGAGATGCAACCTGTCAGGCTCCGAAAAGCACTATATGGACTGAAGCAGGCACCTCGACTCTGGAATAAGGATATTGATACATTCCTGTTGTCCTTAGGCTTTGCTAAATCTGCAGCGGAGCCAAATCTCTATGTTTTGCAAAATACACTCTACCTACTCCTTTATGTCGATGATATGCTATTCGCTTACAGTGATATGATAACCTTTAACCAGATTCTGCAGCAGATTAAAACCAAGTATCGTAGTACTGATTTAGGTATCGCAAGAAGATTTCTAGGTCTTGAGATTATACCTCTTGAACAAGGTGGCTATTGCTTAAGCCAGCAAGACTATATTACAAGTATTCTTTCTCGCTTTGGACTTATCAATGCTAATCCTGCAACTACACCATTAGCTAAGGATACTGCTCTGGATATGCCAGTAACTGTCAATGACAAGCTTGTGGATCAAAAGGAATACCTCTCTATTGTTGGGTCTCTCATATATGCAGCACTAGGAACCCGTCCAGATATTACTTTCGCTGTCACGAAACTTAGCCAGTACAACCACGAACCTCGAACATGCCACCTCACAGCAGCTAAGAGAGTATTGCGATACTTAAAGCATACTCACACCTTTGCACTTGTTTACGGTAAACAAGAAGGCCCTGCACAATCTGGACCATTTCCACTTCATGGGTATACGGATGCGGACTGGGCCAGTAACCCGCATGATAGGAAGTCTATCAGCGGATATGTTTTCTTCCTTGGAGCACCAGTCTCCTGGAAGTCAAAAAGGCAATCGATCATAGCAACATCTACTATGGAGGCAGAGTTCAGTGCCTACCTTGATGTTGCAAAACAAGCTCTATGGTTACGGCAGCTTGTGGAAGACATCGGCTATCCCAGTCCAAACAAATCGAATACCGCATCGCATACGGAGGTTCTGCCAGCATCCGAGTCCGAACTCGTATCCTATTCAACCTATCGATATGGCTGTATCACACTGTATAGCGATAGTGAGCAAGCCATTGCAACTGTCAAAGGAGAAGGTATTACGGCGCGGAACAAACACTTCGACATTCGACTTCTGAAGTCCCGAGAACTTCAGCGGCACAGCATTGTTGACTTTACATTTGTTCGAAGTGAACTCAATAGAGCAGATGGTTTTACAAAGAGCCTTAATTCTATTAGGCACCAGGAGTTTGTGAAGCAACTGGGCTTTATATAAGCTTAATTCTGTTTTTTCTTTCCTTTCTATTGGTGCATAGAAGGTTGAGGGTATACCTTTCCCCTCCGAGACATCTAGTAGGAGGGGTTTTACTGGTGCCCAATGATACCCGGGAGGAATTTTTTTTTTTTTTCTTCTTTCTTTTTCAGGACGGGAAGTATTAGAATGTGTCTGTTGTGTGCTATTTTGTGATGTCTTACATAAGCCGATGGTTACTGATCTATGCATGTTGCTCCTCACGGAGGAACAAAAAGTTTGCTGGTTTTTCTGATGATGCGCACTTTTCTTCTTCTTCAACCAATTCAAGATCAAGAACCGAATACAATCAGAATTCATAACTCGTAACACCATCTCCAAACACATATATACCATCCCCTTTCCCCCCCCCCCCCTCCGCACATGCACCACTGCTGTGCGGATACACCAGTTCTCCCCTCCACAAACCTACAAATATCCCCGTTCAAGACCCTCTGAGATGTTATATTTTATCGAGTGAGGAATTATGATTCCTTCTACCCGGTCGTTTGTCATGTCCGGCGGAGCTAGAAAGAAGCTCCTTTGTATCATATCGTCATACCCCCGTCCTGTCTTCTTTTCTCTTCTCCCTCCTCGCTAGAAATATAGACGGATAGATGTATTAATGTACATACACCACATCAAGCGCTAACTACCAATCCCTAACACACTCACTCCCAAGATATATTTGGGGAGAGAAACTCTACCAAGAACAGCAACCACCGTGCCAACTAAATGAATTACTACACCATAACGAACCGCCAATCCGTACATACATTACAAAAATCCCTCCCGGACCATCCCACATCACCACACCGCACAGCAACGGAAATGCCACCACCACCACAACCCAAGAATACATAGCGTCAGTACCCATCCCTACCACCTTCGCTCACAACCCAATAAATCCCATACATACATGCATACCATTTATCCCCACTGGTTAGTCAGTCAGCCAGTCAACCACAGTCCTGTAGTCCCCGCCACCGCGATCGAACAAAGACCACAGCGACAGAATAACACCACCTTATCCACAGCACACAAACCCCACAAACGAGCCGATCCCGCAAAGCTCCCGGCTGGGCAAAAACCGTCCAAGGTTACTTCATATCTGTTCGGAATACAATACCCGTGCGCCGTACTGTACTGTACGGCAAGGTACATACTCGGAGATGGACCTCTTCCACTCGAGTTCATTACTGGAAGCGCGAAGTGCACGCTCAAGTCTGGTACCGCCTTCTCCTTCTTCTTCCCCCCCACCGCGTTCGTTTATAAACGTGGTTGGATCGGAAGGACCATTGTTGTTAAACAGGTGGTAAATTATGATGCTAAAAATGGCTGTACCATACATGTCGCTGTGTGTGAGATCTCATGTCTCGAAGTATTTTTTGCGTTCGTTGCTTTTGGGGGTTTTGTAATTTAGGCTAGCCGTATGGCCACAGCTGTGATATCGTACACACGCCTTGATCCCCGTGTATGTATGCGATATGATATGATCCCTCAATTTTCCTAGGTCCCTGATTCTTTATCGAGTGAGGGGTCATGATTCTCCAATCGCGGAATCAGAAGTGGTGGGACCGGGTATGTACGATACGATAGAAGCTCTTTTTGTATTGTGAGGGTTAAGTTCCATCGTTATATTCCATCATTGGTGCTTAATGCTTATCCTTCTTTCCCCCCCTCTGTGTGTTCCGTTTCGAGGGGGTTGTGATTACCCGTCGGACCAAGTCCCTTTCGCCCCCCCCCCCCGACAGTTCTTTTTTTTTCCGTTCTCCATTTCTTGTTTTCAGGATAACGTATGATAGAAGTTTTAGATATTGTTTTGCGTTGCGATATCGTGCCCCCCCCCCCCCCCCCCCCGCCAAAAAAGAAAGAAAAAAACATTCTGACAAAACTCAGTGAAAACCACGACACCATCGTAATCCACTAACCAAACTCACCTATCGTTCAACAACGCACGACACGGCACCAGGAAGAAGGCATCCATGGTAGCAACAACCCCCACTCGATGACTACCTAGGGTCGGGACAGAAGAGGGAAAGGGCGCCGGTGTTCAATTCCCACCTGCCAACGCTCACCTCGTAGGCCCAACACGCATCCTCTGTACCGACCAGTACGATACGTCAAGTTCATTTGCATTGGACTACAGGGCATAAGTTGGTTGCTCCCGGGGAAGCTGGAGGAAAAATCAGAGGGTAATAATCGACCATCTATATAAACTTACATAAGAGACGCCGTGGAACTCTCGACCTTACGATTCCAACATCACCTTCGTGAGCTGGAAAGTTGACAGAAAATTGCTCAGCACCGAACATAAAGACACCACCCTCGGATTACTATAACTCAGATACTGCAAAGGCCCGTTCGTGCGATCCCGAGGAAATCAGGGGTTCAGACGGAATTCCTAGAACCACCGAAAACAGTTGTCAGGATTGGCTACTCCAGGCCATAACACACTGATTGATCATTATGCCAGCGTTGCGACACATGTGCTACACATATCTGCTCTAGCTTTTGCTTCAGTCTCCCAAACCCAATAGTTTTCTGCTATTGCAGTCATCTTATCCCTATAGATCAAGGCAAGGTATCATAACAGATCTGAAGATTCATTTTTCGCCGATTCCTGGGGATACACCAAAGGACGCCCAACAGCACCGCCTCTTGTCCCGGTAAATCCGTCCTCTTGGATGGCCCAGCCTGTGAGCGTCCGTAGGAACAAACAGATTGCGCGAGACCATCACAGACCCCACTCTCCCCCGCGTATCACACCGCACAAAATCGCATCACAAGGCACATTCACTCAGTATCTCTCCATAACGAAGAAGGATCCGTATTTATTTATTTAAAGATACCCGCAACCGAAAAGAAAAAAAAAACACAGGGAAAGATGAAGAAAACACCTAATTTATCTTATTTTAGCGCCTTCTTCGCAGCAGCTTCCTTGAGAACCTACACACCAATTCCGGTCAGCATGCTTGTGAGTCGGGGGGACAGAGATGGAGAACAATGACCTTCTTCACGATCTTCTGCTCCTCAATCAAGAACGCACGGACGATACGGTCCTTGACACAGTTCGCACAACGGGATCCACCATATGCACGCTGGACGGTCTTGGTAGGCTTGGAGACCTGGGAGTATTCACGGGGACGAAGAGCAGGGATCTGTGGGACGTTTGTCAGTTACTCTCCTTTCCTCAAAACCCCAACCCGTGTATCCTGCAACCGTGTGGCTAGAGTGCTAGCGGTACTCGGCCGGCCGGCTGAAGAAAAGCATGCGCATCATTCCATCCCGCACACCCAATGCCGCCTTGGACCAGTACCCCGCCACACAACAGAAATTCCCAATCGAGCGAGTAAACGCCAGCCCGCTACAACCACTGCCAATCTCCCAGAAAACACGGACACAGATAAATCAAGGCAAACTCACGCCAGGAAGTTTAATCCCACAGTCACCGCACTTGGGCGGGCTCCCTCTCTTCTTAATGTGAAGGTAGCGAAGCTTTCCCCCGGGAGTCTTAATAACGCGGACCCTGTTGCTGCGGGTGTTGTATCTAAATACCCCTCCCGCAATCAGTCCCCGAACCCATATCCTACCACGCCCGTCCTAGTATATGATGGGAGTAAAAAAAGAACTTACGGATTTCTCCGCCTCTAAATCCCAGTCAGCACTTCGCGCAGGAATAAAAAAAAGCCCAGGAGGAAGAGATAACATACATAGGTCAATCTCGTGGAAACCATTGCGTCCGGTTATCGTCGTGGGGGAATTTGCGGTTGGGTGGTCTGTCGGTCGGTCGTTGTCGTCTCGGTTGTTGGCGTGGTATCTGGAGCAAATTGGGTAGAGTTGTCTGGCGTCTCGATGGAGTGTGCGGGTTTAGCTGGATGGGGGGAATTGGCAGTCACAGGGTTTGCCCGGCCGTGGCTGATATAATTAAGGCTGTGCGGGGGGGGGGGGCACAGCCACTAGAGCAGGAAAAGGCTGAGGTTACACAACCACCGGTTACGGGTCCGGAAAGAAGTTATGGAACAGTTATATGGGGTTAACTAGCCAAATACATCCCTGTCTGTCCCGGTTAATAGGTTCCTACCCTTTTCTGTACCGGTGCCCGCACGATCGCGGTGCCGGTAAATTTACGAGTTCTGTGCCGGCACCTGCGCTCGATCTTGAGTTCTGCCACGCCGAGACCTTGTCCTTCACTACTGGTTGGTCGGGACGACTCCACACCCAAGAAGGTGCGATGAGTTACCGTGCTGCTGATACCGGTACCTGGATCAGCAGTCAATTCCTTCGAAGGGCAGCGCTCATCAGGAGAGCCGGCGATCGTCACTTATCCCTTACGGGTGCTCTGTCTACTCGAGTAGTGCCGCGCCTGCGAGATCCGGTCGAGGAAATAACGAGATCTGGGAAGCATCCCTCCATAGCAAGAAGTGAATTGCTAAGGTTCCGGACCAGTGTGGTGCCCATCCCACAAACCCCTTGTGCGCCCTCACAGACGAAGGGATAAGTTCGGCATCGAGGGCTCTTTATGCTAATAGCGTCCCTTACCCTATCGCGGACCCGGCAAACCACCCTCAAGCCCATCGGTATGGGCCCACGGGCCAGTGGAGGAATGGAAAATGTTTGTTCCACCCCTGTCTGATAGTTACCGAATATATTATGATTTACCTGTCAGTGTCCGGACACAGGTTACGGTGATACGGTAAGCGGCTTTGATTAATTTCTGCAGATTCGCGGATGTACCAGTACCGGTGCTCGTACTCGTACTCGTACGAGCCTCAGACCACAATTACGGGAGCTAACATTGGCCATATGATCATACCGTATGGTACGTATGATCATACCGTATGGTACGTATGCTCATACAGGCACGGTAATCATGAAAGGATACTGAGGTGGTACTGTGCCTTAGTCATCTCTGTCTTGGACACTGGGATGGGCGGCACCAACATTTTTCACTCCTTCACCGGCCCAGCAGATACCTGCTGCACTGTGCCCTAGAATCAACCCATGATACACCAGACTCCAATATAAGCAAACCTCAACCTATCATACCCCCCCGATCCAGATCCCTCTCCAAAAGCTCAACCGCTCACTCCCCACACGGCCCAGCCCCAATCCCGCAAAGTATCTCGCCTCACAACCCCGTACGCATTGCAGATCTCCCCGAAAACACCCCTGATCTACAGCGCACCTCAAGGAGCCAAAGGTTCAAAAGTAAAATAAACCTCCTCCAAACCCCCTTCTCCTCCCACCATGCCATCCCTAAAATTCTTACGCGGATCCAGGCACATAAAACCCACTCACCCTCTTCCGTCCCATCTCCACCACCCTCCTCTTCATTCCCGTCACCGGTGTCTCTTCATAACCGCGCTAACTTCAGGGCTATCGACACCAGGCAGCAGCCCCCACTCCCACCCTCAACCTCGCTTTCGCAAGCACAGCCGTAGCAGCAACGCAGCAACCAACTTCCCGTGAGCACGCGAGGTAGACCGGTTTCCGGCTCCCTTACAATCGTATTCGCCTCCAACGTCGTTGTTGCTACTTCTGTCGCCAGGAGGGACCTTTGAATTGAAGAATTTGCACTGAGGGAGAGGTTGTTCTACTATTACCGCAGCTATTACGACGACGACGATGACGACGGCAGATGCTATAAGAGAGAAGGCAACAGCAACAGGAACGAGTAGAGGCATCATGGAAAACGGCACGAGTTCCGGTAGTAGCGCCACCGCTACTACAACCGTGGTTAACTCCACCTCCCCATCTTTGCGAAAGATAGACGCGAAGCAAAATTCGCAAGCCCCCGCCGCTGTGCTCGCCCCATCAGGGGGGTCCGGAGAAGATCTATACACAATATGCACCCACCTCTCACAGAAGGTACACCGCTTTTTAGAAGCCGACTTCTCCAGCGAACTTTTGAAAGGCGTGCAGCGCCAGACAGGTATCTCACTGGGCGTGGTCGAGGAGGCTTTACGGCGGTATAAGTACCTCTCCCCTCACCCGCACTCCCTCACCCACTGCTAAGGCTTTAAACAGATTAGGAAACGTCTCCATATCCTTTAATGGTGGCAAAGACTGTCTCGTCCTCCTAATACTCTTCCTCGCCTCCCTCCCCCCGCACCTGCCTTCCCCCGCTTCGGGGGGGAACGAAGGGAAGATAAATTCGGTTTATGTAACAACAGCCCACCCCTTTCCACAAGTCGACGCCTTCGTGCAATCCTGCATCACAACCTACCACCTCTCTCTAACTCGCTACTCCCAACCCATGAAGTCCTCCTTCGAACGCTACCTCCAGGAAAATCCAAACGTTCAGGCGATATTTGTGGGCACAAGGAGGACGGATCCGCATGGCGAGTTTTTGTCACATTTTGACGTTACGGATCACGGATGGCCAAATTTCATGAGGGTGCACCCGGTGGTGGATTGGGGGTATAGAGAGGTTTGGGGGGTATGTATTCTTCTTTCCTTCGGAGTAGCGCGCGGAAGGCAGTGGCACTAACTGCGAGTGCGTGTGACTGGCGAACAGTTTCTTCGGGAATTGCAGGTGCCGTACTGCGTGCTTTATGATATGGGGTATACATCGCTCGGCGGGACTAAGGACACGCATCCCAATCCAGCGCTCTTGGAGGACGGAACAGAGGTGCAGGAGGGTGAAGGTGGGGAGAGGAAACGGAGGTTTAGACCTGCGTATGAACTTGTGGAGGATGGGCAGGAGAGGTTGGGTAGAGACCGATAGAGGGAGCCTTTTCATTGCTTGCTTGCTTCCGATAGACGCTAGACAAGTTGCGGGGGGGTGAAGGATCCGACCTTGGGTGATAAGCCTGGTTTTTTGGTTTTTTGGTTTTTTTTTTCCCTTACGAGTTTTAAAGATTTCCGAAGGTTTCGAGTCTGATGGTAGAGGTAAACCTATTAGTCCCTAGAAGGAGGTATGATATGTAATTTCACGGGCTGCTATGATATGATAAACGGGGCGGTTTCCTTTTTTTTCTTCCATTCTTTTTCACTTTTTTTTTTTCTCCCATACATTTCTCATGCATGCACCTTGCGCTGTACTGTATGATGCTGCCGTCCAACCCCCTACAGCTAGATTTAGAACTTTCTCACTACAAAGGTGGAAGCCCCAAAGTCATACCGTGCAATATCGTGCCTCAATTCAGGTCGCGAGTGTGAACCGAACTTTTGTAGGGTGCATATACAGGAACCCCACCCCCCCCAAATCATATCATACCGGAATTGTACCATTTACCGTCACACTCTGTACCATAGTCAGATAACAACCCCGCGCCCACGCAACAAGCAAACCTCACCACAACTATCACAAACATCATTCATCAAACGAGGAACGACACAAGAAGGACGCTCCGATCCTAAGACACCCCTTATCTGCCCCCCCCCCCACCGACCACACCGCCTGACATCCGAGAAGAAAGAAAAAGAAGAAAAAAAAGAGCAAGCTCGCATTCCAATAACCGGATACTCAACACCATTGGTTCCACATACTGTACTCTACACAATCGGACACTCAGGAAATCGCACCTTACAACCCGACACGACGATAGCTTTCCCACAACTACCATACGCACTAGTCAACCTACCTGCAGTACCTACCTACCCACCAATATCGTACAGACCGATAGCCCAGTCTTACCAGGGTGTACAAAAG